TTATGTTGAAATTAAAAAAAATATTACAATAGTATTTTTGCGTTGTATGAAAATTTTTGTTGCTCCGTATAAATTTTTTAATCAAGCTCCCTCCCCCTCCGGTCAAAGGTGTCCCTCTTTACCAATCTGAAAATCTGGTCAACTTATTATAGAACATTCTCCCCCAGCCGTGAAATGATATTAGCTTCATCCTTTTTGACCTTCTGGAAGGCCCTCAAGACCTGTTATGTTATCAGGCCTGAGGTTCCCAGCCTGGCTTCATGTCCATTTGGTTTTCCATCACTCCTTGTTGATAATTGCGGTGCTGGCCAGTACCCACTGGAAGTTGGTACTGCCACCTGTACCAACTGCTATACTGGTGCAGCTGGAGTATGAGATATAGACTGACCGTATTATGGATTCCCATATCTGCTGGGGACATCTGCAATATATAGTAGACTGGAAGGGCTATGGCCCCGAGGACATATGTGGGAGGTCGCCAAGACCGTACCTGCTCCCTGGATAGTCTGCTGGTTCCACTGGCGGTACCTGAAAAAACCTGGTTCGTGGGGTCCCGGAGGGGACAGACTCTGCCAGGGGGAGGGAGATGGTCAGCTCTTAAATATGATAAGTAAACAAATAAATAGTGAGTGTTCTATTCTCATGATATGCTAAACTGCATCGTTATTAGTCATGGTTAATGGCCATAGGTATGAAGCATCCAGCAGAAAATATTTAGCGAACATTTTCACTCCACTATCTTGTGTTGCTTTTTAGCACTGGAGAAGGTTCAGCATGTCCTTTCTCCCTTTTTCAATTCATCAACTGAATGGCCCAAAGTGGTGGGATGGGGAGAGAAACACCCCACATCTTTCTACTGTTTTGGGCTGTGACAGGTGGATACAATCTGCTGCAATGCGTGAATGCTGCCCCCTCCACCATATAACTGCTCCCATGACAAACAATCCATTTGTTTACATCATTGGCTGCTGCACAAAAGGATACAAGCCCCTCTGCACAAATAAAACACCTGAAGGGGGGAAAAAGTAACTTTGAAACAGGCAGCCTCTCAGTCCATAAGAATTGACTATGGATTGGAAAAGGGCCTTTGAATTGAGAAGGCAAATGGCAGAAACAAATATTAGCATGTCAAACCATGGGGTTGATCCCATGGACATTGTCATGCAGCACATAGCACATCTATTGCCTGCATGGAGTCAAGAGGTAATTGAGATAGTCTGTTATGTCTTATGTGCCAGAGCACATTATATCAGTTCTATCACGTGTAGGCTAGTCACCTTCTCAATCTGCTTCTTTGGCAATTCTTTTTAATGGAAATTGCTGAAAAAGGGGTGGGACTCAAGACTGAGGCAGAAACGGCATTGGTTGCCTCTGGTGGGTGACAGTCTCAAGACCTGCTTGGAAAGTGCACCCTTCTTGGTTCTTTTATATTTCTAGAGCCCTTCAGTATTATTAAACAAAATATCCTGGAACTATTACAAGGGTTGGAAGTTGAGAGCAAGTAGTGCTTCTGCTACTTCCTGAGTGGATAGTCCAGTTGATGGAAATAAGGGAGGAGAAGTCATCCAGTGGCTGCTCCAGTGATGAGTCGCCAATTTTTTTACTATTGGTTTGGGCGCATTCCCGCATGTGCTCCTGTGTGCGACGCGTCCAAGCAGGTGGGCGGAGCATCCCACTGCCACTACTACTGGTTTGGGCGATCTGGGCCGATTCGGGAGCAACCCACCTCTGGGCTGCTCACTTGAGTACATGAAGCTGCTGAGGGGAGGTAATCCATCAGTTTGGGATGCAGTATTACCAATGCACTGATGATCATCAATTACATATCCTTTTGACAGGACACAGAATGATTTTTAATTATCATGTTTCATAGTTTTCAAGTGACAACAGTCCAGGAGGATGCACTGTCTGTTTAAATAACTGCTTTATTGCATAATACAATATATTATAAAAATTAAATAATAAGATATTAGAGCAGTCGATGTCTGATTCTTAATATCTCACTCTTTCAGTTTTGCAATGTTTTTGGTGTGTAAATAGATGGAATTATATTGCCACCTAGTGAAATGTAGTGCAGTTGTAGATACACACAAAAAAAATTTCACCAAAAATCTTTAGCATTCATCCTGTTCTTGCTGATAAAAAATAGAGGCCTACTGAAATATTAAAATGCTGCTAATAAAATGTATATATTTTGAAATGAAATATTTTGGGGAATATTAGAAAGCATGATATAATATTTCCCCTAAAGGAGAAATGGGAAAAAAATCTTAAGGGAGGCAGAAACCAGCCCCAGTCTCCCTGCCCCAAGCAGAAACTGAGGAGGCCAGCTTTCCCATTCAGAAAGACTGGGTCAGACAGAAACTTCAGATAAGCAACAAGCCAAAGGTTGACAAGATTAGCTCAAACTCCTAGGATTTGCATTTCCACATTTGTCTATAGAGCCAGCCAGGACCCCTAGATCGCCCAACAGAACTAAAAAAGGTATAAAAACCCACCCTCTACTCTCAGCTCCATTTTGTCAGCTGCTCCAGAACCACAAACCCTGGTGGGTTTGTTCCTCAATAAAGGGAACCTTCCTTTCCAATCAGCCTCCATTTTATTCCTGGCTTGGAACGGAACCAGATGGATTTTTCTTCCAACAATTTTAAAAACCAAAACACTAACCTGTTACTTTTATGCTCTGGGGGGGTGGGGAAACTATATAAACCTGAGTTATTTGCTTACCAAACTACTATATTTTGCTGGCTTCCTTATTTATATTGTTTTATTATAAAACACAAGTATACATTATATTATTGGATACAGTGATATTTATGGAGTGCCATCTACAGATTATTAACTCTGATGATTTAGATAGTTTACACCTTTAAAAATAAATGAAAATTTAGAAATTATTAACTGTGATTTCTAAAATGTTAATGTTCAGCATAAGGTTGTTTAAATTTTACATTTAAAGCTGAGTGTGACATTAATAAACTGCAAAATACATTAAATTGTTCACATCCTTGGCTTAATTCTTAACACTTAGATTGCCAGGGAACTGTTTTTTATTGTTTATACATGTCAGAAAAAAGACAATAAAAACAAACACCTTTCTAATTTTCCCTATCTTGTGCTTCTATCAGTTTGCTGTGTTTATAAGCATTTGTTTATTGCTCATCTGTATGCAGAACGTATTATTTTAGTACAATTGAATTGTAACACAACCATTTTAGAGGATGATCAGGAAATTTTTACTAAAGGCATTTTTGCATGGGCAGAAATGAAGTCATAACAAACATTCCCAGCAAAGAAACAGTAAGAAAGAGAAGTAGGATCAGTCAGCAAACGCAATGGAGCCCAGGTGGCGCAGTGGTTAGAGTGCAGTACTGCAGGCTACTTCAGCTGACTGCTAGCTGCAGTTCGGCAATTTAAAATCTCACCGGCTCAAGGTTGACTCAGCCTTCCAACCTTCCGAGGTGGTTAAAATGAGGACCCAGATTGTTAGGGGAAATATGCTGACTCTGTAAACCTCTTAGAGAGGGCTATAAAGCACTGTGAAGCGGTATATAAATCTAAATTATAATCTCCTCATTTAGAATTTTGAATTCTGCTAGTACTAAAATTATTTAATTACAGACAGCAGNAGTAAAATGCATCTTAAAAGTGCTGAGTTTGATATGCTAAAGCATCTCTTACAGATAACAATTGAACCTCTGTTTGAAGACCTCTAGTGCAGTGTTTCTCAACCTTGGCAACTTGAAGATGTCCTGACTTCAACTCCCAGAATTCCCCAGCCAGCGAATTCTGGGAGTTGAAGTCCGGACATCTTCAAGTTGCCAAGGTTGAGAAACACTGCACTAGAGGTCTTCAAACAGAGGTTCAATTGTTATCTGTAAGAGATGCTTTAGCATATCAAACTCAGCACTTTTAAGATGCATTTTACTTAGCTACCAGAATTCCCTAGCCGGAATGCTGAAAGTTGAAGTCTCTCCATCTTAAAGTTGCTGAGTTTGAGAAACAGTGTGCGAGCAGATCCTTCACACCCTCTAGGACAGGGTCTTGCCATTATATGATCCATGAGATCTGCAGTACAAAGTTTTAATCTCAGGAACAATGAATGATAGTTGAAACTCTGCTTCAGCCCTGAAAACACAAAGATAGCTGGAATCTGATGTTCCAAAGTGAGCAATGTAAACTGGGGGAAAGAGAGAGGAGTCATAGTGTATTCTCACTCTGGGCCTTGGGTGAAGAAATTTTTGCCCACCCCTAGAAACAGGAAAGAGAAAGGACTCCAGCTTCCCTTGCTCAGTAGCAGGGTAGTCAAGATGAGTTCACCATGGTCTCCAGGTGTCCCTGATTCCTTATTAATGTTGGGATGGAAGTCTGCCTAGCAAGAGGCTTTCAAGGGGTGAAAGCAGCTTGCTCTTCTTTCCAGGCTCTGCTGGGATTATTGCATTATTTTTAGTGTATAAAGAAAATACATGACCCTGATTTAGCGATCGGGACGTACGAGCAGCTTCAGTAAGCGATCGCACCAATTAGCTAAGCAGAGCCGCTCCGGGGTAGCTCTACAGACGGCTACACCCTCTAGGGGGCGAGGGAGAAAGGGGAGAAAGGGAGAGGTGGTACCTTCCACTTCGCCAAGCGCGGATCCTCCGGCGCCCGGTCCTCCTTCACGTTCGTCTTCTTGCATGTCCGATCTCGGGTCTTATTCAGACCCCTCCAGCGCCCGCAGAGTTTGCCCTGGCTTTTTCGAGGCGTGCAACCGGTTTTCTTCGCGGTATTAACGGGGCCTTCCGGCAAGCGCTCCGCATTAAGGCTCGCCCAGTCCGACTTCCGAGTGCTTTTGGCCGACGCCCGCCTCCACGTTTGCTTCCCGCAGAGCGATGGCGAGACTTGCTCTCGAATTTGCCTCGCTGCTCTTACTATTCTAATTTGACCACCTTTGAAATCTTAGGGATTTATTATTCGCGAAATAGCTAAATCAACAAGATTTAGAAATTATGGATCCGTCTTGATGCCAGCTCCCAACTGGCAGAATTGGCGCCATCTCTGATGCATCCGGGCTTAAATCCCGGTTCAGCCAGAACTCTCAAGAGGGATACGCGCATGGCACCCGCTGCCTTTTACAGATTGACTTTTATCAGAGTTTACTCCAGTTTTACCGACATTTGAAAACTGAACCCTGAAGTAGTTTCTTTCGCCCAAAATCCCATTTTTGTAAAATGTGCTTCATAGTTTAGCAGGATTAGTAAATGATGATCACTGTAATTAAAACTGTAATTTGCATCTTTGGGGAAACCTCCCCTTGCTATTATTTGTAGGAAGGCGTTTTGCACGCATGTTTCCCAGTTTGCTTGTTCAATAATAGTTTAGAATAAAAAGTGCCAAATACTGTACAAATACTAGATGCCAGATATTGTTGTTGTAAAACGATCAAGCGTCCCAGGACCCTATTGCTAATATTTGATGAATACTGCAGATGGCAAGGGAATTGACAAAAATGTCTATTGATTTAATAAAAGCTTTTAACTGTGAGGACAAGGTGTGGACAGTCCATGAAAGCATGCATATATAAGGCTACCTGTCTAGTGAATAAAACATACTATGTGATGATCAGAATGTAATAATACGGGATATCTAAATGGCTCAAAAGTGGGAAAGGGGTGGGTCAAGATTGGATGCTCTCTTAATTATTTGACATATGGAAAATATATCATCATATATACCAAACTTGAAAAACAATTGTAATTTACATTTCTGGAAGAAACATCAACCACAGATAAACTGATGATGCGTCTTGAATGGCTGGAAGCAAGGAAAGCTAAAGGAATTCATTGTTGACAATGAAAAAAAAAAGCACAAAAATCAGCATTTCAATATTAAAAATACTGAAGATAGTTAACAGGCAATGGTAACTCAAGGCAAGTAACTGGAGAAGTAAGTTTACTTAGAGAGGGATGGTGACTCTAGACCTGAAAAAGATAGCTGGTACTTGGGACAAACTATGACAAATCTAAGTAAAGAGCAAAGACACCACATTGACAACAAAGGTACATATGATCATAGTCATGGTTTTTCCCCAGTTGCAATATTATAGAAATAATTTTGAATTTTGATGCTGTAGAAAACTAAACTCTGGACTCCCAAGAAAAACAATACTAGATGAAGTAAAATCAAACTGTTCTCTGAAAGCATTAATAATAAAGCCAAAAATCAAAAACCAAAGACAATCAGAAAAGAGGGCAAAAGAATACAAAGTGGCTAGATGTTATCATTGTTGATAAAAGTTTACAAGAACTCAAAGCAGTTATTAACCATAGAGAAATATTTATCAGTTTAATCAGCAATGACTGAACAATATTTTATTATGCTGTAAAACTGAATACTAAAGGGACGCAATGGCTCAGTGGCCGACAGTTCATCGATCAGAAAGGTCAGCAGTTCGGCAGTTTGAATCCCTAGTGCCGCTTAAGGGAGTGAACTTATCCCAGTTTCTGCCAACCTAGCAGTTGGAAAGCACATAGAAAAATAAGGACCACCTTTGGTAGGAAGGTAGCAGCGTTCCATGCGCATTCAGTGTTTAAGTCATGCTGGCCACATGACCACAGAGACATCTTCAGATAGTGCTGGCTCTTCAGCTTTGAAATGGAAATGAGCACCGCCCCCCTGGAGTTGGGAATGACTATCATGTATGTGAGAGGGGAACCTTTACTTTTATTAATACTGATTTATATATTAGTTTCCATGGTTTGTTTTTTGATATAAACATTCAGTAATGTGGACTTGAAATTAATAGCCCCTGTAAATGTTTATGCATAAAGGTAGAATGCTTTGTGGAATTTAAGAATGGATAGAATTATAATTTGAAAAGTAAGTATTTTATGAAAAGCAGCAGTCCCCTCTCCTTAGGAGTAGCTGTAACATACTGCTATAATAGTGTAATTTCAAAATGCTCAGCATGATTTGCTTATGAAGTCAGTGAATAAGCATGGTAAGCAACAGAATGCTGACTTCCTAACAGCATATGCTTTAATAATATGCAAATAATTATACAAAGTTCAGTTGTGATCTTTTATTTATTCCTGTTTTATTTTGTGGTCTGAGTCATTAGTCATGCAAGGCTAATCTTAACCTTAAACCTGCTAATCTTAAACTTAAAAAGTGGCAAACACTAGTTCACTGCTTTCTGGTCTTATTTGTCCAATTAACCCTGGCTTTTTCAGGCCACAAAATACAGTCATATAGTGGCAGGCTCATGTATTATGCTAGTTTTACTTCAAAGATTTCTATGTCTTATATCAAGTACTAAGGCACAACAAATCCTACACACCAGACTGCAAAATCAAAACAAAAATAAATGACACAAATGTCAGAATTAATCTCAACTTTAATTCTGCTTCGATGATTCTATCCACCCACCTCATTCTCTGCCGACCCCTTCTTCTTTTGCCCTTAATCATCAGGCTCTTCTCCAACGAGTCTTTCTTTCTTATTAGGTGGCCAAAGTACTTGAGTTTCATCTTCAGGATCTGGCCTTCTACAGAACAGTCAGAACAGTTGATCTCCTCTAGGACTGACCAGTTTGATCGCCTTGCAGTCTAAGGGACTCACAGGAGTCTTCTCCAGCACCATAGTTCAAAGGCCTCAATTCTTTGGTGCTCAGCCTTTCTTATGGTCCAGCTTTCACAGCCATGCATTGCAAAAAGAAAAACCGTAGCATTGACTATACACACTTTTGTTGGCAGGGTAATTGGAGGCCTTACAGCATCATTAAAACAGAAATAGAAATACAAAAAAACTAGTTAAGCTAGGAATCAATATGTACCTGGGGTGGATGTAGGATTGTCTTCTCGCCATCTTGAGAGTGAACTGCTTTTGTTGAAGCCCAATCAGCAAAGCCAGGTTTTAAGGCCTTTCTGGAAGACCAACAGAAAGAGGAAGATCTCATGTCAGGTGGCACAATGTTCCAGAGGATGGGAGCCACAGCAGAGAANTTGCGTTCAGAGACCAATTGGCAGCCAGTGCAGCTCGCGGAGGATAGGTATAATATGGGTGTATCTCGGTACACCCAATATCGCTCGCGCGGCTGCATTCTGGACTAGCTGTAGTCTCCGAACGCTTTTCAGGGGTAGCCCCACGTAGAGGGCCACCACCAAATTCTGATGCTAAACCTGACCATCCAAAATGCAGGAGGGTAGACTTTTGGAATCGCTTTCTCCCTTTGATATGGAATAATAATAATAATATAAAAATCATGAAGGTGTCTTGGTGTTTAATCTTACTTACACCATCTGCTACTTTTTTAGATTTCTCTGAAGTGGATCAGAGGGGGGAAAGGGACTCTTGCATGCAAATGAATATCAGTATTACCCTTTAGACCAAAGATCTTTTCTCTTTAGGGAACAGACAAGCTGTTACAGCATGTAAAACAATAAACAGAAAGCCAAGGATGGTATTTATTTCCAAATCATTTAACTCTGATGAGCAGAAGGAGGTTATTAAGTGAATTATGTTTTTCAATCTCCATTGTAAAAGCAGAAATATTTTTTTATACATATATCCCCAAGTGTCCATTCCTAATTAGCAATGCTAAGTTTTTCTGATAAGTTGAAAACTACCAAGATGGCCTTTTGGAAAGGAGAAAAATAAAAGGAGTGTATTTCCTACACTCCCAAAAGTAAATTTGAAATGAAATCATGTTTTACATTTTAAAAGGAAGCCAAAGAAGAATGAAGACTGCTATATTACAACCAGTTTTTTTTTTCCAAGTTGGTACCCAACAGGTTAGAGATAATTCTTGTATTCCCCAACTAATAAGAGACTTATAGGATTTGAGATTACGGGAGGTCATTTTGAGTTTGCCCAATTAGGGAACTCATAATTAGATTTTTCACATAATTCCTAAACTGCTTCATCTCTTATAAATATCTGAAATTGTTAACAATCTGGACCTTGTTTTTCTTTCCAAAATTTTCTGAAGCATCTGGGGAAGAAGTTCCATAATCTTACAGGATACTGGTTGAAGCTAATAGGTTACAAAGGTCAATGGCTCCCCATGGAGATACTTAAGCCACAAAAAGTATGTTAAAACAGATCTATTTGAATGATTGTGGTGTGAGAAGCTGCCCATTTAAGGATAATCACAATGTGACCTGACTTGCATGGTCTGCTAAGTCACTGTTTCTTTAACCATAGTTTAAACTAAGCTACAATTGATACTCTAGCCATAAACCACAGAGGGTGGGGTACATATAACACACTTGGGATGTGAAGATTGTTCAAAATCCAGGTCATTCTACCATCTGAATCAGCAGGTGATTTTCAGATCTCGCTTCCTATTTGTGTAGATGTTTTTTTTCTCTTGGAAGAAATATTCACAAAACTGGATCGCATTTTGGGAATGGAAAAATCCAAATCGCCCTGAAAGTTGAATATTCCTTTTCTTTCTGTGGCTTCTGGCGACCACAGGGGTTTTTGTAATCTGAAGTTGGAAGCTCCACATTGTCATATGTGATGTTGCTTCATCATATGATCACTCAAGAAGCACCAGTAAAGGAAGAGGTTCCCATACAGGGGTGGGTTCCTGCCAGTTCTAACCTCTTCTATAGAAAAGGTTCCACAAATCTACNTCCCTCCCTCCCTCCCTCCCTCTCCCCCACTCCAAGGCATGCTTGGGGAAATGCTCCAAACCAACCTAAAACTAGGGAGAAATTTCCTGACACGGAGAACAATTAACCAGAGGAACGACTTGCCTCCAGAAGTTGTGGGTATCCCAATACTGAAGATTTTTTAAGAAGAGATTGGACAACCAAACAAGGGCATAGGGTTTTCTGCTCGAGCAAGGGATCAGACTAGAAGATCTCCAAGGTCCCTTCCAACTCTGTTGTCTGTTAAATGCCTGGGACTCCAACCCAGAGTAGCACACTTGCCATAAGATTGCACCCTGTTCAACACCAAAGCACCTGGAGCCCATGTTCTAGAACTCTGGGTCAAGATTACCTTAGATCGGAGAATATATTCT